AAAAAAAAAAAAAGAGAGAGATACATAAACGATGGTTTGAGGTCTCTTGTCTTTGCGACGTTACGGTTGGCCACGGACATGGTTAACGATGCTAAATAGTAACATCAGAAGTCTAGTGAAGCAGCTTTAGGCAATCATCTAATTTGCCGTAGAGTCATCAACAGTTGCAAACATTCTTGGTTACTATTAGTGAGATATCCTTCATCACTTTGGGTATGAGAAAGTCGGAACAGGGTTCCGTTGAGCCATCATCCCGTTACGGCCTAATCCTCAGATAGAGATTTTCTCCATCAAGTGATTCAGAAAGAACGACCGGGTTGTCCGGACTCGAGAGATGTCAGAGTGCATTTCTGATTTGCGCTCATGGCAACACTGTTTGCGAAGTTGCAAGTGGTGGCACGAGTATCGTCGAATCTCTGTTTCTTCGTCATTGTCGACGAGAGAAAGAATGGGTTTGTCACTCAACTGTTTATTCAAAGTTGCGGACTCGATGCTTTCCTTGAGCCATCTTCATGGTCGAAGGAACTGGTTGAGGGTAGCTGAAAGCTATGTTTTGTTAAACAAAATGCACTACTCGCTAAAAGCTAAGTGTAAAGATCTTTCGAGTGTTTATGAGTTTGAAGAGAATGGAAAGGTTAATGAGAGAGATTAGAAAGCTAAGAAAACTAATCAACAAGAGAAGATCATCATCCAAAGGACAAGGTAGATCTGGCTTCCCGCGGGAAGACTATAAAGTGTGATAGATAGGTGTGTTAGTAATCCTACGTCACTTTCCACGATCATAAAACGGAACGGTGTAAGTTCTTGTCTAGCCTGGACTTAGTAGCGTGGAAGTACTAGACACGCTGGCTAAATATCTAGAGCGAATGTTTTTTCATCACAACCAGTGTGACTAGCGCGGTCATTGAGAACCCTGTCTCAATGACATATTCACAGAGACTCGGTCACATGAGTCGAACTCAAACCCTATCTAGGATCGAGTCGCGAATAAGGCTAAGAGCCGTGTATTGCACAATTCTTCAGGTCGCTTCTTGCTCCTTCTCGTAGAAGTCTCCATCTTTCTTGAAGTTCTCTATGCTTTGTGAAAGATGTTTTGCAACGGTGCAATGGGTTTGGTGGAGTCGGCTGATGATGGCTTTGGTGGGGGTTAGCGTTTTTCTAACTTTCAAAGTAAGAAGGCCTTGTAAACACGGCGGTCCTGAGGCGCTTACTTCCTTTCTGAATATGAGGTACTTTTAAAATTTCACCATGGGGAGTGGTGGCGGCTAAAGCTAAACGGTCCACATCTGCTAATGTGTAATTGTTTATGCTGAAACCCCAATTTCTGGCTCTTGGGCTAGCTAGTACTTGGCATTATTCTATTCTGTTTTTTATGTCGGTTCTCTGTTCCAAGAACCAGGCAAAGACTACTGTTCTTCATGCAGACCCGTATCTCAATTGCCCTTGTGAAAGCTACCCATTTATGTCTCCGTGGATCTCGCAAAGCCAAACCCTTTTGCTCCCGTAACGGTCCTCACTTTCTTGCCCCTGATCCCACAGAACCTAGTCCTGAATTTCGACTGTTCTTTGCTTAAGCCTGGCCCCGGCTGGCTTCCGTAGAAAATTACCCTACTCTAAACCCCCTTTAAAAGGCAAAGACTACTTGGCATTATTCTATCCTGTTTTTTATGTGGGTTCTCTGTTCCAAGAACCAGGCAAAGAATACATGAACTTCGTACCAACAGGAATAAACAGGACTCGACTCTCATATTATTGGCAGCATAACTTCGAACAGGACAGCATTCTGCTACAACTGTTGCATTAACAACCATTACTCAACAACGACACCTGCTCTGAAGCTTGCGCTTTCAGCTGCGCCATTAACGCTATTTTAGATGCGTCGCTTCGTCGCTGCTGCTACAACTGTTGCATTAACAACCATTACTCAACAACGACATCTTCTCTGAAGCTTGCGCTTTGAGTAGTCCGTCTCGCTCCTTGGCAGCTACGCTCGCATGTTTCAGCGTCTGTTTCTTTCAATCACGCGGTCACATGCAGCGGTGAAAGATAACCGACAACAATTGAGCAACAATGGCAAGCCTTACACCAAAACACCGGCAACGGCGACCCTTATACGCCGCCATCAGCAAAGTCAGCAAACAGTGATACCAAAGCGTCCAGCAACGCCACTTTGGCCAGCTGCACAACTTCCGTGATCGAAAGCAGTGCAGAGGCGTCAACCGCGGAAACCTTTCCCGTTCCGCTGCCGCCGATGGAAGGAGGTGAAGGAGAAGAAGAAGAGGAGGAAGAGGAAGAGTTTCAACAGAAGGGACTCCCAGACGAAATCAAGAATCGGAAGTATTTGGACAAGCACGGGAATCTGTTGGAAGTGGAGCTGCTCAAAGATATTGAGGAGTTCGGGCTCGAAGACTGCGACATTGATCTGAACAGCGACGGAATCGCCCACTGGAGACTGGCTCCATCACGCATGCATCAAGAAGCCGTCAGGGCAATCGATTACCGTGTCACCGTCTCCCAAGGCGAGGAGAACGACCGTCTCTGTACTGATCAAGGGTTCTCTGTTCTTATCAACCTTCGGGGTGTTGAGCGGGACCCTGATTTGGCTGTTTGGGGAAAGGACCACATAACAACAGGTTCCTTTGGTCAACTTGTACCAATTGCCAAAGAGGTTGTTGGGTTGGGCAGTTGGCGTGTGAATCCCCACGTCATCTTCGAGTTCAGTTGGTCAAACGATTTGGAGAAAGAAGAAATCCCCAAGTTCCGAGCTCAAATGAATCAACATCTTGGGGAATTGGGACAGATCAACCTCGGATTCCTCGTCAAGACCAAATCCAGCAAGGGAAAGAAATACCCCCCAATGTATGGCTTTGATATTTATGAGGCTCGTCCTTCTGATCGTGTGGAGGCAGGAAACCCCACTTACGAGTATCGCGTTGGGGATAAAGAAGGCGTCAACTTGATTATTCCAGGCGATGACCTGACTAATGGCGACGGCAGCAACGGGAGCTACTTGGACATCACCATCCCCATTCAGGCCATCTGGGAAGAACTTGAACGGACTGGGGTGAAATTCGAAAAACTTGAAGAAACGAATTAGCTTGATCGCCTGATATGCGGGGGTTCTAATAAGATAAATTATAGTGGATGGTTATTGTTTGTTGTATTGATTCAATGACTTGAAGCCTTTCCGTTCAGAAACCCACGAACGGCGGCCTGCCTGGGAGAAGTAGGGAATGTACATTCATTGCTGCATCCTGTCATCACAATCCAATAATCCATCGCGATGGATATCTTGGAAGGGACCATCCTATCAGCAGATCCCATTGTCAGTACAGTATCTTTTACCTCGGCAGTCTTGCTGCCAGAGCCCTCAACCCCTTTAATTGTTTTTCCTGCTACGGTGGTCCCTGCAGGTATAAGGGTAGGGTTAGAATATAAATAAGTCAGCAAAAACTAAATAAGTATCCTAGGATGGTGCTTTTAAACCAGCTAAAGCTATTTACATGCATCCTAGTAGGGGGATCTGCTCCTACCAGGAAAAACTCTAAAGCCAGCGAAAGCTATACAACAAGTATTCTAGCTAGCTAGGGGTATCTGCTTCTGGATTGCTATGCGAATCTGCTTCTAGCTAGGGGGGATCTGCTTCTAGCTAGCTAAGCGCAAGTTAAGCACTAGCTAAGCACTACAGGTATCTGCTTCTAGCTAGCTAGCTATAGGGGTATCTGCTTCTACACTGAAACCTTTCTGCCGAGGTTACACAGCTCCGCTGGCTTATTTAAAAAGAAATGCACACCTTTCCTTGTCCTCCAAGTTGAAGTCTCGCTGGTGCTGGAAGTTGTAGCCCATTGTTGGTTCGACGGGCGTCGGATGGTTGGAGGTGACATGACATGTGCATACTATGTCTGGCAAGGGCTGGCAGAACCAGCTGGCAAAATGTAGGTACAGGTACTACTAGCTAGCCAGAGCTATTAATAGTACGGTAGTACCATAACCGGTACCGGTGCGTGTACCTCGATGGTTAGCATCAATGGATCTTCCGTAAGAACTCCTTCTTACAAACCTTGCGACGACGTAGAGCTGTACCGGCCCAAACATTGAGTCGATGACTTGGCCCAAGCAACAAACATGTCTGTAATAAAGGCCCAATGGAAGGAGGGCCCAAATATGATACCCCCAAGCATTCCGAATGACCACGTCCAAGGCTGGCTCTAGAGATGCTCTGTTTGCTCTCTCAGAGGATACCGGTATCCAAGAAAGGACATTCCTCATCATTTCATGCGGCCTCTTCTGGATTTGGACCGAATCTTCAATATCGCTTTTGGGCTGTTATTATCGTTTTCAAAAGGTGAAAGAAGAAGTAGAAGATAAGGATACAATACACAAGGTTGGAAAGAGAGCTGTTGCTACTAAGGGCGCTGTAGTGATACAAGCAAGATGTTTCTTGTTCCTAGGACGATGGCCAAGGCGCCGTCGGTCCTTTTGACGATATGGCTTGCCACCATGACCCGTCATCACGTCCAGGCCGACTCGTGCTCGGCTTTTAATGTGAATGGAGCCTGTTATGAACGTAAGGATTGCTTGCAAAGGTTTGCTTGTCTACTTACTTGTTCTTCTATAATAGCTCACATACAACATGATGTCATGATATTCCTGTAGTTGGATCCTCCATTGAAACTGTGACGGGTGAGCTGGACAGCATGGTCAAGGAAGCCGGATCAGACGGATTCATGTCCCTATACGACAATTTTCTGGCACCCATGGTGAACATGTTTATTGCCGCAGATGATCCCACCGGATTTTGCTTTGGAGACTACACGGGAGATGAAGTCGACGAAAATCTAGAAGATTACGGTACGGCCAATGTATCTCTGTGTTCTCGGCTTGGCTTTCTCAATCCAACAAGCCGCGTGGAGTGGCGATGAACGAACGGCTTCCAACACATCCTATACGTCCATGTTTCACATTATATTTATTTATTTGCAGGCTGTGACTTTATCCCTCTTGATGCAAATCAACAGTTCGGCATTGTGTCGGGATCTCTACCAATCACCACGGAGATGCAGTTGGCCTTGATGGCTCTGCAGCTCTGGACGAACGTGCAACCCGAGACCGTCACACCCAAGTTCTGTATGGCAATGCGTGTGCCATCCCCAACTTGTCACAAGATGACGTTTGCCATGACCATCAATGATGGAACAATCACCGCTCTCTGTGAGATAGTCCCAGCGGGGGGTATTGGGGACGCCATTCTCTCCGTGTTGGCTGCCATTGTAGAACTTGGGGTGGAACAAGTTGGCTTTGGGATGTCTATAGGTGGGGGGCTTGATGTGCCAGTCAAATATTATGTCAACAAGGAGTTCAAGGCTAGCACCTTCCCTTCCCATCTCTATTTCAACATTCTGGGCAGCATTGAGCTACCATTCCTTCCAGAGCAATATCAGGAAATCATTTCCTGTGAAGGAGAATTTGCCCGTGCATTCAACTTTGGAGATACCATCGACGCCGTGTCTAGTGTGGTCACAGACGTCTTCAACCCCAGCAACTTTGGACGTGCCGACTTGAAGGGAACCTTGGACACCTTGCAAGATTTGCTGCTCTTCCCCGAAGTGGTCACGACAGAAGCCAGGCTAACAATTGACTTAGAGGAAGTGACAGACGGGTTGCTCCAGAACCTCGCGCTTGGCGACACAACGATGATGGCTATGAAGGTAAATCGATGATGTACATGTTGGTCACGATCCTGGATTGGTGCTTGTAGAATTTCAGTCCTAATCCTCAATCTTCGGAATTCTTTTCTGCAATAAAGGTGCCAAAGAAAAAGCTTGGAAATATTGAACCTGGATTCTACCTCAGCATCGAAACCAACCTTGAAGTCCTCGAGGCCTTCGCTAAGCAGCTCTGCGATCAAATTGATGGTGCGCTCAAGGCAGTGTCCGGCGGTGGTTGTCCAAAGCTTCCGAATTTGTCGATCAAAGGCAAAATCGGAATCCAGATTCAGGCCGATAGGATTGAGGCTTTCATCCAAGTTCCCGGATTCCTCATAGAATGTCAAGTGTGGAATCTGAATCCACTGGAAGGGAAGACCCCGAAGATGAGTTGTCAAGTTGACAGTGTCATCTTTGAAATCGTCGCAGAGGCACTTGGATACCTCATTGGTAAGGCTGAAGAAATGGGCAAAGAGATTGTCGAAGACGTGACGGAGATCTCCAAGGACGCCGTCAAAGCAGCGAAGGGTTTTGGCAAAGAGGTTGCTGGGTTTGCCAAGTTGAGTTCCAAAGCTGCAGACCATTTTGCCGGGGAGGTAGGTGCAATAAGAGACTCGGTAGGTTGCGCAAGGCTGTGCCACACCAGAGCTTACGTGTTCTTTGACGATCTTGGCAGGTTGGCGACTTCTTTGAAGATGGAGGGCAGGAGCTATTGGATGTTGCAAACAGAGCTCTGAAGGAGGCTGAAAATTTCCAGAAAGTGGCAGAAGCAGCAGCCTTCAAGGCTTCGAGGGCTGCAGACGAAGCCGGGAAAGCTGTGGACAGGTCAGAATTCGCAAATGGATGATGTGATGTGGTTTTTTGTGCTGACCGCCATTCAACTAACGTATTTATTACTCAAACAGAGCTGCACAAGAAGTTGCAAAGGAGGTCGAAAGGTTGTCTAATGAAGCCAAGCAGGCAGCAGAGACAGCAATGAGGATTGCAGAAGTGAGTTCTTGTTGCAACAGCTTCATGTTTCCTTTTGCGCGACCTGCGATTCGCGCCCTGCAAACTAACGGTCAACTCTGTTGCATAATGCGCTCTTAGGAGAAAGCTACGAAACTGGCCGATGAGGCCAAGGAGAAAGCTGAAGAAGCGGCCCGAGAGACCGAGAGGATAGCCAATGAAGTGGCCGAAGAGGCCAAGAAGGAAGCTGAAGAAGCGGCGGAAGCGGCCAAGAGTACAGCGGAGGGCGCCTTGAATGCCGTCAGGAAGGTAAATTTAAAGATGCTGGATTTGTTGCGTGTGTATTAACGGCCTTCGCGGTCCCTCACAGCTTGCCTAACATGGGATCCCAGATCAAGTTGGGGTGGAGACGGTTGCGAGCTGATGGTGAGGAGGAGAGTGCATTGGACTTCGAGGACGAAGACGAGGATCATGACCACTACGAATACCTTGACGTTGGCGCTGGGGACACAGTTGAACAGGGCGACCGACACCGTCATGCCGATGTTGACGCTACCGACAGCCTTACCGAGGGCGACGAAGAAAAGTTGAGCGATGGACCTGTTTACATGTTTAGCCACGTGTTTAGTGATGATGACATCAATGATATGGGTCTAAGCGACCATGTGCAAGCCGGCAACGGCATCCTCAGCTACGACGAAAAGACCGTCGCTGCGCTTCGAGAACAAAGGGAACTCATCAAGACAGATACTGAGGTGAGTTCCACGAGGACGCAGCATGTTGGAATGCTGCCGCTCCCTTTCCGTTCCGTGCATTTAACGTCTGCTGTTTCTGCTGTTTCCTGCGTTTCAAGCGAAAACACGATGTAAGTCTTTTTTAAAAAACACAAGAGAGAAGATTCAATTTGGTTGACGGCGGCTAACACACTCCTGGTCTCGATCGTGCAGGAAATGAAGAGGAATAAGGTTTCTGCTGACAACAAATACCAGGCTGCCCAGGCCGCACTCGAGGCCGCGGAAGCAGAAGTCCTGGCTGCCCAAGAGGAGACAAAACACAAGCCCGTGGGAATGGGCTTCATTCAGCACTACCAGTGCAAGAACAAGAAAGAGATCTGGGATTCTAGTAGGAGAGAAGACTATGGCCACTACTTTGCTCAAAAAGGAAACGATGACTCTAGGAAGAGCTGTTTCGAATCGTGCTATGAGTGGTACAAGACCAATAACAAGTCGAAGAGACATCCTTTGTGTTGCGAATATGAAACCGGCGAAGATACCGGTGCTTGCCGAGTTGGCAGCGAAGGCCGAATCAAAGCGAGAAAGGAGTCGAAGAGTGCTTCTTTGACATTTGTCAAGGACTTTGGGTCTATGGCCGAAGCCAAGAGCATCAGAGCTACTTGTAGTTCAGACAAAGAATGCTACACCAGCTTCTGTGACAACGGTAAGTGGTTTGTTTCTCCATTCAGCGGTGCGGAGTCAGGGGATATTACCGATAGGCTGATTGCCTTGTGCTTGATCTTTCGCAGGGCGGTGCAAGGTGAAATGTGCCCCGGAAAATCGGTGCTATCAGTCTTTGTATTCGAAGTGTTTTGGTTTCGACGGAAATTGTCTGAACGTCGGCGGCGTCAATCACTTCTGCGACAAAGCGACGGATTCATGCACGTGTGACGACTCCACTGGACAGTGTACACCCGAGGAGAGGCAAGAAACTGTCATTGACCTATTCCCGCACCAAGTTAAGGAGGACATTGACATGGAGAGGGTCGACGTCAAGGTGAGTTCGACAAGGTTTTGTTCGTTCTTTCTTCCTTCGAGGGCGTTGCGCTCACGAACAGTTTAAATCGTCCCTCGCTGCAACAGCCTGCCAAGATGTTGCCAAACAAGAAAAACAAGAAGGAAAAGAAGAAAGACGAGGATGAAGAAGATGAGCGTCCCAAGATGGCGAAGAAGAAGAAACCGAGAAAGCCGAAAGATCCGGATGATTATGGCGAAAGACCTCCTAGTCCTGGCCGCCCTGTCGGTGGTGGCGGCTATTCCCGCGCACCACCTCAAGGAAGCAATGGTCAAATAATAGTGTCTGCTCCTGAGGTTATTATCAGAGCTGGTAGGATCGTTGTCGAGCCTGTTGGTGGAGAAAGCTATGGCCAGGTGCCACCTGTTGCTACCATCGATAGCAGCAACGGCGGGGGTGGCCGTGGACGTGGGGAGCGTGGCGGTGGTGGCGGTCTCAGGGGGCGCCCGGTGAGGGGTCGACCCGTTAGAGGTCGACCTGTCAGAGGCAGGAATGGGCCTGACGATGGAGAGGAAGGCGAGTACGAAGAGGAGGAAGAAGACGAGTACGAAGAGGAGGAAGAAGACGAGTACGAAGAGGAGGAAGAAGACGAGTACGAAGAGACGGAAGAAGACGAGTACGAAGAGACGGAAGAAGACGAGTATGAAGCGGAGGATGGAGATTTAGACGAAGGAGATTTCTTCAATGGGGGAGTGTTGAAGGATATTGATGGCAATGATATTCACGACCAAGTCAAGGGCATTACCAAGGACCTTCCGTCCAATTTCAAACCACAGGTCATTGGGAAACCTACGATTCAGGGCGGGCCAGCCGTGAAGACGCCGAAGATAAGCAAGGTCGTCACGAAGCCTGCGTTGAACATCCATGATCTCAAGAAGCAGATTGGCAAGATTGAAACCAGGAAGAAGGATCCCAGGAAGAAGAAACCCAGGTAAGCGAGAATGTGTCGTTCCCGTCCTTCTATGCGTGCCTCAGGCACACTATTAATAACACTTCCGTCGCAACTGCCCCCAAAGGAAAAAGCCGCCCCGCAAGAAACTCTAGCTGGGAGAGTTTGATTGTTTAGCTTCCCCGAAATGTAACCTCCACCACTCCTTTTTATAAAACAAACAGAAACTTTAAATAGATCTAGGTGCATAAACACGCATGCATCAAGAAACCCATGCATGCGAAACCCCAGGATCTCAGCAGTAACTACATCTACCACCGTAAGACTAGCCTGTGTCTACAGATGCTACCTCATAGCGAGAATGCTTGTACGTGGTAACAAGAGCACCACAGAGAATGCAGACGATGTACAACGGCATCTTTTAGAAAAAAGTGTGCTGCAAAGTGTCACAGTGTGTAGTATGACGGGATGGAAACCAATTTTCGGCACGAAAGACACAGAGGAGAACACTTTGCGTGGAAGGTGTTAGAGGGGGTTTGCTGAGAGTTTTTCTCCATCATCTTTGTGCACAGGAAAAACTTTCGGGGGTATCTTCACTGATTTTCATGTGAGCCTTGAAGAGATAATTCATGTTATGGCTGCAAAGGCAAAGTGTCCCCTACCAAGAAAAAGGGAAGACCTGGTTGACCCTGATATCATCATGCTCCAAGCAAGCACGACTCTCCCAGTGCGAGCCTGAGATTGGTAGATTCCTGTGGGAAAAATGTATCTCAATTCTTCTTGTAGGCTGTGATGATATAGTTTTTTTGCCTTCTTCGGCAGTGATGACCACAAGCTTCTTTACGTAGTTACTGTACCTCCATCTATTTGATTCTTGCTTCATCCTCAAGCCACGCTCCAGAGTGTGGACGACCTCTTCGAAGCTAACGGAGGTGCCACACATCCTATCCAAGCAGTGGTTGCAAACGGTAAAGTGCTTTGTGTGATACGACCACTTGGAGTCGTCCCAAATGTCTGAGAAGTCCTTGGGTGCGGTGCGGATGGTTGCTGTGAGATAGGCGACCATTGTTCTTGCGCTTTCGAGTCTCTGGCAAATGATAGTGCGGTCAAATGTACGCCTCGGAGACTGTATGGTGTTGCCAATAGCCTCGATAGAGCTCTACAGGGGACACAAATCGAGAAGACGTTGAAGATCAAACACCAAAGCTTTAGTCTTCTGCAACAGGGATGCTTGCAATAGCATGGAAGCCATCCCAAGGAAGCAGAGAGCTTGTTCCTTTGCTTACTAGCTAGCTAGTAGTGCACTACTCTAAAGCACACCTGCCACAAGACAACAACCTGCCTCTCACAAAACAGTTTCTTGCGCTTTTGGATTGCCAAAGCGGCCATCAGCTGGATCACATCACAGGCCCGCTTAGCACAGCCAGCATTGTTTGTACCATCTCCGCCAGCATTCTCCTACGTATGCATACATTTGTAGTACTGTAGAAGTGCATTCTTGTTTGTCGCAACCCTCCCTCCTGCTCAAAAAGTGAGTGATCCACTTCTCTCTGTAGAGCGCGGGCAATTTTTTATCTGCTCGGATGTTCTGGTTCGCTCCCGCTCTTGTCCACAAGGAGCTATTGCAGGATAATGGATGCCTTCGAAGCATCTTTGCTCGACACCTCGATCTCATGGCAACTATTGTGAGCTCAGTCCAAGCTTGGCCCTCTATTTGATTGCCATTGTGGCCTTCGTGTCTTCCGTCCTCCATTCTGTGTGCTGGACAAGCGACAATGACAAAGTTGCGGGGAAAAAAGATCCAAGTTTAGCCCTAATCCTACGTTACGGATCCAAAGAATTTTTTCAGCGCTTTTCGATCGGTACGGCTGTACGGCTTGGATACAGTCAGGTACACCAATCATATCAATGGCTCTGTCGAGGCCATGGCCATTGCCAGGAACATAGTATAAGGTTGTCTAACACCGGTAGTTATATATTATAGAGTATAAGGGACTTGCAGCCATGACGGCCTTCAACGGAGACGATAGAGATGCTGATCATGGAGGAGACGATACTGTGGATTCTCGGCATGTCAACTTTGAACCGGCTTCCGTGCGAAGCACTATGGCATTGATGGGATCCTCGTCCGAGGTTCTGCATTCCTACAGAAGACATCCCAGTGACAACGGGGAAGATCCCGTGGTGTCGTCACCTGGTGGACGACGAAGATCCCTGCAGTTTGGAGCTTCTCATACCATGGATCGCTTGCGAACGACCTTTCTCGCCGAGAGTCCATCTACCTTAATAGGGCTGCTCCCTCATATGGGATCGTCCAGCGATGATGCCGACCAAGAGCTAGCACCCAACCAAACCTTGCCTCAGCGCATGCGAAAGAGCCATCGAGTGCCGGATCCGAGCAGTTTCAATGCAGAGTCTGAGAAAAGAATTGGCTTGGGGAAAATGGTTCAGAATAGTTTAGGTCAAATCCCTGCCATCATTTTGATTGCACTGGTACGTAAACTGGGGGAAGCAACAAAAATAGCATGGCAACATACATTATGGCAGCATGACACTTACATATCGCTTTCTCTAAAATCAATCTCCCAGTTCCATCTAATGATTGGAATTCCCTTTGGCGTATCCTACTTTCCCATTGGATGGAAGAGCAGTACGGAGGAGGTATCCTCCAACAATGCTACCACAGCTTCGGGTGCTCCCGATGACTTTGTGAATGGACCCTTCCCACTGCCCGGGAAGGAAGCACTAGGGATTCGGATGTTTTTGTATGCCACAATCATTGCCCAAGTTGTGCTAGCATTGAGGAGTGATTTTCATTCTGCGATTGGGCTGGAAATGGTAGAAAATGTAAGACAATACTGCATCAAGACTAGTCTAACCATGCAGCTCGGGCTGTCTACAGGATTGCATGTGGCTGATGCCTGACTTGACTTGCCAATATTCCAGGTACCATTCTATCATGAGTTGGCGGCAACCGCCATCAAGCATTGCGGCTACGGGATGGAAGCCCTGGTTACCTTATTCTTCATGTTTGGAATAGCCAGTGTCATTGTGGGCATTGTGTTCTATGGTCTAGGCAAGTTTGAGCTTGGAAGGATTACTTACTACTTTCCAGTGCACGTGAGTTTTAAAAAGACAGCACAGCAGCGTTTCTTGAGGTGATCAAATAAATCGTGCTTATAAACCCACATTGACTGTTCCCCTTCCCCTCATCTCGAAAGGTGCTGGTCGGCTGTATCGGTGGCATTGGTCTCTACATCGCCAGAACGGGGCTGGAGGTTACCATGGACGTTGCACTGACAGTGGAGCATATCATGGAATATTGGCAGCTACTGAGGGTCACGATCATGTTTGAAATTATTCTGCGCATCTTGGAGAGAGTCACGTTGGATGCAGAGGGCAAACCACGATACGCCCTACTCTCGCCAATCTACTTCTGCTCCATTACACCCATTTTCTACCTCGGCCTACTGATACTGCAAGTGCCAGTACAGGACGCAAGGGATGATGGATACTTTTTCCCAGCTATTGAGACCGCTTCCAGCGGCACAGCGACAACCAGCAATGCTGATGGTGGCATATGGCAAAGCATCATGTCAGATGAAGGCATTTTTGACATGTGGAGACACCTGGATATTCGAGTAGTGTCGTGGAAGGCAATATTTGAGTCAATCCCGACCATGATTGCTTTGACACTCTTCTCCCTGATCCATGTCCCCATCAATATACCAGCACTGGGTATATCCACCAACACTGACGTTGACATGAACAACGAGCTTATTGCACATGGATATTCCAACTTCCTCTCGGGCATTTGTGGTTGCGGCCTACAGAACTATCTTGCCTACACACAAAGCGTTGTATACCATCGATCCGGTGGGAGGGGAAGGCCCTCTGGGATCGCTGTGGCCATTGTCACCGCAGCACTGTTCGTCGTTGGACCAACGATCGCTTCATTCATACCTCGTGCCATGGCTGGAAGCCTTCTCCTCCACGTTGGCATCGACTTGTTCTTGGAAGGAGTATACGATTCATGGGAAAAGTTCGATGGCCTGGAATACGCAGGTATTTGGCTCATTGTTATCGTCATGACTCTCCAAGGCATGGAGGCAGCCATGATAGCTGGCATTATAGCCGCAGTGTCAACGATTGCTGTCCAAAACTCCATGTACCTCAACCCCATAAGAGGCAGCATGTCTGCCGCGACCTTGCGGTCGAGCCACCGAAATCGAAACTACCAAGCGAGGGATGTCCTGGATTGTCCTCATAAAGGGAGGGCACGAATCATTGTCATTCAACTGCAAGGGCATCTTTTCTTCGGCAACTTTGCTCAATTGACCACCGGTATTCACAATCGACTGAATGAAATGAACAAGGACATTGAAGGGCGTCGAATTGTCATCTTGGATTTCACTCTTGTCGTCGGAATCGACTCGTCGGCGGCACAGGGGCTGATAAAGCTCAAAGAATCTATGCAGAAGAAGCATAGGGTAGATGTTTGCATTCACGTCACGGGGTCTGAGGACGGCTTTCCTTGTGAGTTTGATCTCTCGAAAGAACTGACAACCAGTCATCACCACAACCGAAGAATTCAAAACAGGAAACAAGCCAAGAAGGCTGTTGGTGATGCTTGCACCGAAGTCGTAACAGAGGCGACCAGTCTACTTCACGCGACGGGCTCATGCGACAGCCTGTTGCTAGATGATGAAGAATGTCATGAGTTGATGAATTACAGCGGCAGTTTCGTAATGGAGTCTTTGGATCTGGCACTCATTTTCGCAGAGAACATTTTGATTTGTTGGGAAGACCCCACTCTGCTCGATGATTACGATCCGAGAGTGGGCGTGGTCGATCATTTCGATCCAAAGTGGAAGGAGCATTCTCACAATCCACCTTCGTTGATTACCAATGCCATGCTCTACTCATCACACTCAAGTACCAACTTTGCTAGCGAAGAGGAGGAGAAGGAGACAGTTCTCAAGTGCTTTGAGAACATGAACCCTGATCGGATCTTCACCAAGCAAGATATGGAGGTCCTGTTGTCATATTTCACGCGACAAACATATGCAAAAGATGAATATCTTTGGAGGCAAAATGAAGCTAGTGACTGTGCAAAACTGCTTCTGAGTGGGATGCTGATGGCCATGTTAGAGAACGAAGCTGGCACCAGCGAACTTATCTCTAGCGGCAATCTCATTGGAGAGCTGGGCTTGGTACGAGGCATCGCACGAATGAGCTCTGTGCAGTGCATTTCAGATGACGGGGCAATTGTATACAGCCTGAGTCGAGACTCCTACGAAGAGCTGATTAAGTCCAATCCGCAGGCTGCCCGATTCATCGACCTTGTCTGCATTCAGTACCTGGCGAACAGAGTTCAGCATGTCAGCAACCGGATATTCGAAACACGCTGCCTTCCAATCTAAACGTTTTTACTTTCGAAGGTCGCGAAAGTTGGACTCTGACTCGCACGATGGCAGGATAGCATCAACCATAAGCAGCCATCACATCGTTCACTATAATCCGGCTTCTTACCTTCCGTATTGGCCACCTCTCAAACTGCTACATAGCGAGCTAGTAGACCGTAGCGAAGCCAACGGCTGTCGCTGGGTACGATACCAGTGGCTTGTGTTGCCGAGATGACTGCCAAACTAAGGCAAACTACATGTAGACTAGCTACGGTACGGTGCCGTACAGGCAGCTTCGGTTTTAAAGATTCAAACGCGTGCCAGGTTTTCTCTAACACGTCTACAAGAGCTCGAGTAGATGTGTACCAAGAAGGTCGGCACGCGTTTGCATCAATAAAATCGAAGCTGCTCGTACCCGTGCGAACCCCATTCGTGAGGTGACCTCACGATTTAAACATAGAAGGGGGTCTGGGGGTGGCTCGTGCAATTTACTTTGGCTCTTTTGAATAGGGGCAAAGAGTACAAAAGCTGATTCTGCAATTATGAGGCCTTCTTGAAGTGTTTTTGGTGGGTTAAAGCATACACTAGTAATTAGTAAGGATTGAGTGTAGTAAAACCTTTCTCTCACATCAAACCATCACTTATGGATATGGTTTGAAATGTATATAGCCTTTAATGAACTCCATAAAAAGAACACTGGAGAAGATCTCACAAAATATGTACTGTACAGTAAGGTTTCTCCAGTAACGAATGGGGAATGGGGTACAGTATGTAGTAGTAGTGGATTGGCTTGCCACATACGTACCAGCACTCACCGCACACTGATCTCCACATTACACACCAACACAACCACAACGACACCACCAACAACAGGAACACAATGGTGGAGGAACGGCTGATCGCTACTGCTACTCAGTATGTATTACGAGGCAAGCCTATTATCAGTGTGTTATTACTACTGTACTGATACTCTCCTTCATTGAATTTCTATGTAAACAGGAGAGAATTGCAAGTTCGGCCGACAACAGGAGAGTTGAGTTGTTCTTTAATTATTTGAGTGATAGTCGATCGATTGCACCTCTCCGGTACGATATTATCCAAGCCTCACCCAATGACCGCTCTCCGGTGCAGAAAGGAAAACCATCCCTCATTGAATTCTATGGACCATGGAATGGCAGTCAGTTCTCAAAAGCTTCAGGCTGGGACGGAATCTTCAGGCTGGGACCACAGGAATCTTCAGGCTGGGACCACAGCTTCAGGCTGGGACCAACAGCTTCAGGCTGGGACAACAGCTTCAGGCTGGGACCACAGGAATCTTCAGACTGGGACCACAGCTTTAGGCTGG